AGAAAGAATAAAACAGTGAGGACAGAGAATGTATTCAAGTACTCATGATGCAATGCTATTTCAATGCATTTAGCACCTGGTTAAACTTGATTGCAGGTGGTTATGAGACTAAAACGGTTTAGTTAATTCACTCTAACTGTCTCTCTCTTTCTCAGTCACTCCCTTCTCATTCTCTCTCTTTCTCCTGCTCTCTCTACAGAGTAAATCTGGCTTTGGCCTATACTGAACTAACAGAGGAGTTGGGCAAGTTGCAGGCTCTGACCTCGAAACAGACAGAGATATTGCGGAAAGTCTCACAGGAGCCGGCAAGCCCAGGTATGAGGACAAGGGCCCGGTAAAGCATCTCCATATGTGGTCCATAATGCACATTCAGTCAGAGACATAGATATTTAAACAACTGTGATTACACTTTAAACAGTCATGAATATACACTATACTGTATGTCCAAAAGTAGGTGTATATTCTACGAATATACCTTCTAATTATTGGTTTGTATAGTAGAAAGAGCTCAGTGTCTTTTCTAATGTGGCATTGTCACAGGATTCCACCAGTACAATATTTTACAGAGAAATATTTTATAAAATGTTTGTATTATAAAAAAATATATCTATACTAACCCTAACCCTTTTTCTAAAAATATTTTAGTATTACTTAATATTCTAATGCCTTAACTGTTGGACCCACGGCACTCAATGAAGTCCTTTGAGATGAATTGGAACATCCACTGCCAACGCCTGACCTTACTGATGCTCATACATTTTGCCATGTAGTGTAATGAAGACCTGGTTTAGGTAATAATCATTTTCATACTTTAACGAACCGCTTTTTTAATAAAACCAATTTGTCAAACTCATCAAAATTCAGCACAGTGGGTGTGTAAACAGGCGCTTTTTTTAGCACTGCATGCTTGTTTGCTGTCTGGTTAAATTCCACAAGGAATATTTTTGCTGACATGTTCTGATCGCCTCTCATGTTGAGTGTCTCTTAAGAGTTTTAGAACATAAACAACTCCCCCTTATCTTTTTAGCACCTCTGCTCTCAACCGCACAACCCATTTGATATAGGAAACCAGACCAAAAAGCAGAAGCAGAGATGGAAAAAAACCTTACTGATTCATAGATAGAAGGACTGATTTCTCTAAATAGCTGATTGCAATCTCACGATTGCAGGAAGCTGAGTATATGCACATTAGACTTATAATTGAGAGACAGATGCATCTTCTGTACAGGATCTTGTGTGCCTCTTGCTAGTCAGAAAGTTGTTTAGAAGTAGCCTACCACAGGTGCTGGTGTGAATGCACAGGAAAACAATATGAAAATATCTCAAAGAGGAAATGTGAGGGGAAAGAGGAAGTCATTACAGACGTCTATCTGTCCATTAGGGACTGTGCTCTTTACACCACCCTTTAAAATATTCTTCCGAATGAACCATGCTACCGTTAATGAAATCAAATATTCAAACATTTTATATATGAATTTAACTATATAAATTTAACAGAAACTATGTCATTGCCCATGTTTTAGTTTGTTGTTACATAGACCATATTCACTATGTGTCTTAATATGTGTTAACTTAACTATGTGTTCAATTTTGTGTGATTTTGTGCAGTTGTAGGTTGTAATATGTTGTGTGTGTGTGTGTCTTAGTTCAATTGCGTGTGATTTTGTGCAGATGTAAGTTGTAA